TTAAGACCTGGAGGGGGTAAAGGCCCAGACATGGCTAAAGGTCTCCCTACAACAGTAACAAGAATAATTACCTGAGATTCATAAATGTGGCGTTTCTCCTCTGTAAGGGATTCACGGATGAACTGTTGATTCTTTACCGCCTGGGGACCACTCAAGCTGGAAAAGGGAGGAAGTTTTGATGTAGAAGTTTGTCCTTTGGGTTGCATCTTTTTCTTCTGATGATCAGCCATTGTTGAAGGAAGTAAGAGTTTATTGGTTGGAAGCAGAAAATTAGAGAAAAAGCAAGGAAAGTTGTGAAGAGTTAGAGAAGTTGTAAAAAATGAAAACATCAAAGGGAAACTACTTATATAAGGTATGGAAGACTGAAAGTTTTCATCATTAAGGGGCTAGAGTTAGTGGGCCACATGTGTGTGCAGATGTGGGATGGCAAAGGCAGTAGTTGCAATTCACGTCCCCGAGGTTGGAAGGGTGATGATGGCCCACGATTTTGTTGATTCCCGAGAAAGTAGCCATGATGATAGTGACGTCATAAACGTGCACCAAGGTGGCGAAACAGTAGCTTGCATGTTCATAGCTATCTTTCTTTTTCTCTTTCATTCCCTTTCAACTTCTCAGACTTACATTGGTGGAAAGAGTATCAGACGACACTCATAGGGGCAAAGCGGCGTCGAAGGTCATACGCTGTCAAAAAATGTGCTTTTCCATGGTCGAAGTTGAAAAGACATTTTTGGGAGGCAATTTGTTAGCTCCTAAATTCGACGCCTCAGATAGAAAGAAGATATCTAAGACAAAAGGGTGGAAAATGGCTTGAATACAAGAAAATGGTCGAAAGAAGCAAAATAGCTAAGTCGAAGGACTCACCCAGAGGCCAAGAAGTTCGACCGCCTGCTGGGAAGAATGGGTTGTCGAAGTATTTGAAATTTGAATATTGGAGGGAACGATTTTGTTTGTGGAAAATTGAGGGAGACACGTGTCACCTTATGAGTAATAGATCCATGCATTTGAGACAAGTGGCGGAAGGAGATTATGGTGGAGGTTATTTTTTGTTATTATAAATAGGGTGTCTTAGACATATCCAAAGTGTGTTGTAATTTACTATTGTACAAATTACTCTTAAAACTACCCCAAGTATGCGAGTGTAGAGAAAGAGAGTATTATAAGAGAATGTACGTGATGTAAACACACCATCTTTTAACTTAATGCAATTTACTTTTTTACTTTAAGTTTTACAAAGCCTTTTATTATCTTCATTGTCTTTATCCTTTCTTCTCCTTACCTTATTTCTTTTCTTCCTATGCAATTATTTTCTCTTCGCCCTCAATCTAAATTTACCTTTACCAACAAACTTTCTTCTCTTTTATTAGAAGCCTCACTTTACCTTGAAATTAACCGTAGTCGACTAGATGTTCTTTTAGGATTCTGTCTATACCAATACTGTTCGAGTGTGGAACTTGAATAAATTCTTAAGACCCAAAAATAAATCTTTTAACACATGTCCTAGGATCAATCTGATCGATCCTGTGAGTCACCAAAGTTAGATTTGGAAGATCAGCGGTTGTTTTCCAATTTTCAAGGGAAACAGGAGCCATTCTCACTTTGTTACAGTTTTATGACCCTCCGCTACGCTGTTTCACCTTCCCAGATTATGTATTGGTTCCTATTTTATAAAAATATGTTTTTATTTTGGGAGTTCCAGTCTAAGATGAGGTGTCATTCTTTCATTCAGAGGAAGAACCCGATCTCGAGAAGCTTGTCGCCGCTCTTTATTTGAACGCATCTGAGTTGGTTGACAATGTATTAACAGAAATGGAGTCTCTGACTTCACTTTATCTTTCTTGGTGGATAAAGCCCAAAGGTATGCAAAAAAGGGTTGTGGGGGTGGTCTTTAATGCTATCTTGGCTTTGTGTATCTATGGCATTGTGCTATTTCTTAACATACCGGACTTAATCGAGACAAACACTTTTTTAATCTTTGTCTCCAAAAATCTTGTACCCACTCTAGTTGGATCTGTTATGTAACATATGACTTACAATGCCTATTTTGTAGTTTATCATATATGACTTATAATGTCACCTTTTGTTATGACTTATAATGCAATCTTTTGTTATGACTTATAATACAACTTTTGTTATGGTTATGTTACATTTCACTAATAATCTCATTACACAAAATTACATTTGTTCTGATACGTTCATTGGACACAAAAATAACATTTCACTCATAACAATGTTAACAGATACATAACATGACACAAGTAACATTTCACACCAAAGTAACATTTCATTCAAAAAGTAGCATTGCACTCATTACACAGAGGTGCATTTCTAAACCAAATGCAACCAACATACATAACAATGCTGACATATACATTTCATGACAAATACACATGAAAGACAAATCTCAACATAAAAATACATTGTTACAAATACAACATTTAACACTAAGCTCAATATTCCAACCACAATGGAAACTTTCAACCACCCTCTAATTTGAATGATCTCATTCTTCAATTTGTATATTTTCTTCTTTTGCCTTGGAATCTTCAGATCCCTTTCATCAACAATGTCGTCGTCTAACCATTTGAAAAAATTACAACCCTTATGCATATGGTTTCTGTAATTCTACACCCCTAGAATTTTCCCCCAAAATTAACATTGTTCGTGTCACCCATGGTACGAAGGACACATTCATCTTCACAATAACACTTTCTCCTCTTGTTTCTACGAATAACCGACACAATTGTTCCAATGAAAACACTACTTAATAACTTTGACATTGGAGAAGATGAAGTTTAAAATCCTAGAAACGGATACAAGATGAAATGAAAGTTCAACACAACCTTGCTTTTAACACAGACAAGATAAACGATGAGATTGAGAAAGAAAGAAAACACAACACAACTTGAATCAAATGCACACGAACAAGTTTTCAAGAATCACGCTTGAAGCTCAAGATAATAGTCATGTTCGATGCAAGTGATACCCTTAAATAATGATTTTTTATCCTTTTGTTAAGTTATTACATAATTGACACGTCACGATGGCAAATACTAACGTTTTCTTAACTAAACTAAACTAACGGAAGGGACTAATATAGCTAACATAACTAATAATACGAGATCAAACTATAACGTTTTTTTATTAAGAAACTAAAGCGGAACATAAAATTAACTTATGGAATAAGAAGAACTAAAATAAGAGGATGATAGATGTGAATGCTCTAACAACTCTAACAAAGAGTCACTTCCGCATACTCATATAAAAATTATATACCATTTAAATATTTTAAAAATATATATTATTTAATTATTTTTATTTTTCATCAATTTTTTTATATATGTCTAAATATTGTGTCTATATAAAACTTTCTCGAGATTTTGAGGGTGTAAATTACACTGCTCAGTCTCGGATGTAAATACACCATAGACAATCCTAATCCCTTTCCTTGTTACAACCCCCAATTCTACAAACTTCAGCAAAAGACCAACCATATGATATCATTGCAACCCAACAAAAAATAATGGTTAGTGTTATCTTTATAAAAGTTGAGCTTTTTGATATCGTAGTTTTCATGTCTTCATAAATGCTATTTTAAAGTGAGATTTGATATTATTAGTTTAAATGGATATTATTATAATAATTGTATTTTACATGTAAGTTAATTAATAAAAATAATATGAAGTTGACTATAATTAAAAAAAATAACATGTCAAAATGAATAATAATTTTTAAAAAAAGAAACACCGCATTCTAAAAAAATGATAATGTTCTTATAACTTTTATTATCTTTTTTTAATGTAAATATTTCAATAAATAACGGGTTTTTACCAAAAGCAAAAAATGATTTTATTTTGTATACCTTATTTATAAATATTTATTCTTATTAGGATATAGTTTTTATATTTTCTTAAATAAAATCATAGAAAGGGGCGAGAAAAAACATATAAAGAATATTTTTTAAGCATTTTTTTCTTCGATATAATAAAAGTTATATAAAAAAAATATAATAATAATAATAATAATTTGCACCACTATCCTTTTAAAATAGAAAAATCAGTACGAAAAACTACAATTGATTTATGAGTGTTACTATTTATAAGTTTCTGAATTTGGTATAAAATTCATTATTTCTGATGCTAAAATATTAAAAGTATCCTAAATTTTTGGACTACATTTAAAATATCTTTAAATTAAATAGAAATACTTTTATTGTGTCAAAAAATAATATTTTTTGCAAATTTTTTTTTGGTAGAATAATATTAGCTTTATTAAGTTTTTAATAATAAGTACTTTTAGATTTCACATAATATTTTTATATACTACTTTATATTTTGAATATTTCTCCTTTTTTTTAAAAGTGTGAAACTGATATGAACTTTAGGTGAAAAAAAAAACTATCTTACCGTGGTTGGATTCTATTGGTATAACTAAGGACATGTTTGTTTTAATTTAAAAGAATGTAGACTTTTTTTTTATATTTACAAAAATGGATTTTGTAAAATTATTTTTTAAAATATTATAATTTTTTTTATATTTATTATTTCTAAATTGTAAAACTAATTTTGACATCATACAATATAAACAGACATTATTAAAGATTAAAAAATAGTTGAAATTGTAATTTAAAAAAAAAATAATCTCAAAAATGATTTTTATAAAAAACTATTTCAAATAATTTCAAAATTAAATGATTATTTAAAATTTTGATATTTAAAAAAAATTCAATAAATTATTTATATATCTAAAATAATATTTTAAAAACAATTATTTAAATCAGATTTTCATTTAAAATTTTTATGAAAAAGTTCTTTTTGTAATTTCTTTATATAAAATTATATTATACTATAAAAATTATTTAAAAAGCAAAACAAATGAACTCTAAAAAATGTGTTGTGTTATTCTTGTGGACCTTTTCGTCATTCCAAGCATTCTCTCTTATAAATAGGTGCCACCCCCTAATTACTAGTTTATAGATAACCAATTTCCTTACTTTAGAAAATATGAGTTACGTCCGAGTCCTTTCCGCCGCTACAATCAATTCTCAGAATCACAATCTCAATGTCTTAAATGATCATACTATCGATCTAACACCATGGGATCTTCAATATCTCCCATTTGGATACAGTCAAATCGGTCTTATTTATCACAATTCTTCTGAATTAGATACAAAAAATCAAATCCAGCGTCTTAAAGACTCTCTTTCCTCTACCCTTGAATTTTTTCCACCCTTCACTGGCCGTCTCAATATCACGGAACATGAAGATAATACTATCTCTTGTTCCATCAGGTGCAATAATGAAGGTGTACTCTTTGTTCATGCTGCAGCTAAAAATATTAGCGTCGGCGATATCCTTGAACCAACTTATCTTCCGGCCATCTTTTATTCATTTTTTCAATTTAATGGAGTTAAGAACTATGAAGGCACATCAAACCCATTACTTGCGGTCCAAGTGACGGATTTAGCCGATGGTATTGTTATTGGCTGCTCAATTAGTCATGTGGTCGTTGATGGTACCTCACTTTGGCATTTCATCAACTCATGGGCTAGAATCTCAAAGGGAAATTTCGAAATTTCCAAAATTTCATCTTTTGAACGATGGTTTCCAAGTGGTATTCAACGTCCGATTCAATTTCATTTCCCAATGCAACCACGGTATAATCTCTTTAGTAATCAAAATGATAAAGAAGAAAAACTCAACACACCGATGTCTGAGAGATTATTTCATTTCTCAAAAGAGAATATTGCAAAACTAAAATCCCAAGCAAATTTAGAAGCGGGTACAACAAGAATTTCTTCTTTGCAAGCAGTTTTAACTCACGTTTGGCGCTCTATTATACGTTCCAAAAACCTTGATATGCAAGAAGAACTGAATTTTGTGATGGATATAGGCGTTAGACCAAGGTTTATTCCTCCGTTGCAAGAGAGATATTTTGGTAATGCTGTGATGGAGTGTGTAGTTACCATGAAAGTCGGTGAATTGTTGGAAGACGGTGGACTTGGCAAAGGTGCTTTGAAGATGAACAAGATGATTTCTCTACACTCTGACGAGAAGTTAAAAAATCATTACAAAGATTGGTTAATTGCACCGAGTTTTGTTTTTAACGACGGTAATGTGGCAAATAGTAATGCAATGGCGATTGGTAGTTCGCCATGGTTTGATGTTTACGAAAATGATTTTGGTTGGGGAAAGCCTGTGGCGGTACGAAATGGAGGTGCAAATAAAAGAAATGGAAAAATTTATGTGTCGGCTGGTGTTGAAGAAGGTAGTATAAATCTTGAAGTTTGTCTTCCTTATGAAATTTTAGAGGCAATTGGAAATGATTCTGAGTTTAAGATTAGCTAGTTATCTATCTCATCTTATTCATTGGATTCTACTCCCTCTATTTTTATTTATAAGTTTTTAAAAAAATATTTATAAAAAATATAAGTCCTTTTGCAATATAAAAAAATTATTAAAATTATTTTTTATTATATTTTAATGATTTATCATCATCTCTTCTGTAAATTATTAAAATTTATCTTCTTTTGATTTGGGATATAAATCCTTTTATTCTCTGGTGTTATTTTCTTTTAATAACGAAATAGTCTACTTTTTAGGTTGATTTTAATATAAATTTGTGAAAAACATCAATAAATTAATAAATAAATGTTTAATGCAAGATATATTCTTCAAAAGTTTCAATACATTTAATTTAATGTATTTGTATACATTTTAAGCAAAATTAAGGTAGTATATTTGACATTTAATTCTCATCATTTTATGAAAAAAACAAAATTAAGGTTTCAACTTGTATACGCATTATAGGAATTAAAGTTGTTGAATAAACACATCAATCCTCATAAATTATTTTGCAAAAAAATTTCTTATATAAAATCAAAGTTTAAAATATAAAAGCAAACGTGATAAGCGAGAACATAATATAGCGGATGGATTTAAAAATAATTTATTTTATTGTCTTCTTAACGTAAATGAATCAATCAAAAATGAAAGTTATCAAGATAAATAAAGTTGTCTTAATAAAGAATTCAATTTTGATTATAATATAATTTTCGACATAGTTCAAAATTGAGATTTTTAGGATGAACAAATCCAAAAACATGTAATATAATGCACAAAATTAAAGAGATAGGGAAACAGAAATGTACACAGATAATGGTTGAAAAATTCATATTCAATATGCTTACTTAGCTTTTCAATGGTTTTACCATTAAAAAATTGGAATGTCTTTTTGATTTGACCTGATCAGAAGGGATTGCTGGCTGCCACGCGTCTTTAACTTACTACCTGTTCACCGGTGTTGAAGAAAGGGAGGGGGGGTGTACCTGCAAGACACTTCGATGCCAAAGTAAGCGTATGGGCAGAGTGGTCACAAGTACAGAAAAAGGGTAAGAAAAGAATATCTGGCCCTCTTGGAGAAGAGGGTATTTATAGAGAGACCCCAGCGCAGGGCCAACGGTCATTTGAGTTGGGCTGGATGGTCAGGCCCAACCCAAGTGACTGTTAGGGCTTACGTGGCGTAGTGAAGACCAGAACGTGGTCTTCGCCCTAGTTCAACTGCTTCGTGAACTCCGAAAAGTGGGTTGACCTGCTCTTTCGGAGGTGGGCAGTTGGTGGATGACGTGTCCCCGCGGAGGGGAGCACGTGGAGAACGTGTGAAGAACACGTTGTCCTGCCCGACAAGGGAGCAGGTTCTGCCCGCGGAGGGAGCAGGTTCTGCCTGCGGAGGGAGGTTCTGCCCGCGGAGGGAGCAGGTTCTGCCCGCGGAGGGAGGTTCTGCCCGATAGGGGCAGTGTCTGGTCGACGGGAAGTCTTGGGTTCGATACAGATGAGGAAGGTTCTACCCGCAGAGGGACATTACCTGTCCGTCGGGGACTCTGTGCTCGACAGCTGTGGCCCAAGCTGGATTGGGCTTTGGCAGAATATTATTGGGCTGGGCCTTCCCGGTCAAACCGGGGCCCAGGCCAGAACAGGAGCCCCCTAAGTCGTAGCTCCGAGGGAGGGAGCGAGGACTTGATGACGTTGTGCCGGAGAGGAGAGATTAACCTGAGGAGAAAGCCCTCCAGCTCGCGTTCCGCGGGGACACGAGTACGTGAGTCCTTCCTCGTCATCGGGCGTCCGGGGTTGAGGACACGTGTCGGCGGGGAGATGTGAGGGGACGCGTCTGTCAGCCTTCGCCACGTGTCATGCACTAGGTGGCTGCTAGGGCGGCTACTCTAGGGTACTCGAGTGCCTAGCGACGCTTCGAGTCCCGTGTTGGGGTATAAGTAATCGAGCCCCCGCTCATTCTCCACTTTTCGCCTTCTTGCTCTCAATCTCTTGGATCTGCCGCCTCGCTACCGTCTGATATCTCCGTCGCAGCAGTTGCCTCGCACTCCACCGCAGATCGCAATATAGTAAGTTTTTCTTCTCCTTTCTTTTGTTTTTCCCGTTTGTTTTAGGACTGTGGTCGGGGCATGTTGAGTGCACCGAGGAGAGGTGTGGGTCTCCGCCGCTGTAGGCGGGGATCTCTAGGGTTTTTATAGTGAGCGTTCCGAGGAAAAATGCCTATTTCGATGAATGCACCGGGGACAGATGCTTATTCCGATGAACGCCCCGGGGAGAGATGCTTATTCTGATGAACGTCCCGGGGAGAGTGTGTAGATTATGTTAGGTAGGTATCCCGGGGAGACGGTAGGATTTGGATTGAGCCACCGAGGACGACGCTCGGGCTGTCCTCGTCGCCCTTTCACTTGACTTGTGGTGGAAGGGTGAATTTGATCTTTGTCATCGAATTCACCATTACCTTCTGCTTTTCAGGTGTTCATAACTACGTTGGTCCCGGGGACAATGGTCGAGGACAACAAGTTGGACGTTCCTTGCTTCGACGAGCGAGTTCTCCCCCTCGAGGAGTGGGTGGCCGAGGAGCCTCTGTCCAAGCCTTCTTGTTTCACTTCTGACTCGACGGGAGTCTATGCCACCATGGAGGATTGGGAGGAAGGTGACCCCCAGAACTGGTAGGTTTACTGTCCTTGGGAACGTCACCGTATATGCTCGAAGTACGGGAGGATGCGGTTCCCGATGTATGAGTTCTATTTTAAAGAGGCCAGACTAAGGTTGTCGTTCTCGGACTTCCACCTGGGCCTCTTCGATTGGTTGCGGTTGGCCCCCTCGCAACTGCATACGAACTCCTCGGCTTTTATTCGGGCATTCGAGGTTGTATGCCGCTATCTCGAGGTCGGCGTCACGCTGCCGCTATTCTTCCGCGTCTTCCATCTGCAGCGGCAGACGGTAGGTACAGTGGGTGTCGTTCAAGCAACCGAACAAGCTCTTCAAGACGTACATGGACTTTGTTTGGGATAGTGAACGGCCAGCGGGAAGCCGTCATGCTGCCGAGGGTGCACGTGGAATGGTCTCCGGAAGATTTCTCCAGGGGGACTAACCGGTATATAGTGCATGCGGGGTCCCTCGATGAGGAAGATATGGCCGGCTATTTGAAGATAGTCGCGTTCATGCGCAGCCTGCTGCCGTCAAAGTTGGTGACCCCTGACGGCGTGTATATCCTCGATAGCCAGGGGAATGTCCGCGAGACAGTGAGGTTGATCAATACGAAGGCCCTGCTCGAGTGTTCCTCGGAGGCGGAGGCCCTTCGCCATCTAGGTGGTGGACGCTTCTTTCCTCCCTTGATTTGATATTCTTTATCTGTTATTGACCCATTTTCTTTGTTTTGCAGGGAACATGTCTTCTATCGAGGAGCGGGTGAAGAAGTTGCGCGCGTCAAAGGTCGCTGCTACCCCGAAGACGCAGGTTGGCCAGTTGGTCGAACAAGCTTCCGCTGACCAGGACAACAAGGGTTCTTCGTCTCCTCAAAGCAGTCAGTCCCCCACAACTCAAGGGGCCCTGAAGAGGCCCAGAGTTCATGAGGTGGAGAGTGTGGTCGACCTGTCGATGGGCTCTGTTGAGGAGGATTACTCAATCGTGCCCTGCCATCAGCACCCCGGTTACTTCCACGGGCCTAGGTCGCCCAACATTCTGGCTGGGGAGGCGAAGGCGGTCCTGAGTACGGACCGGGCTACTCGTAGGCAGGTCCTGACGGGGGATTTGGCTGCTTTGATGCGGACCTTCACCACGGCGATGGTTCTGAGCGAGGAAAGTTGTTCGGTTGTCGAGCTGTCTAAGCTGCAGGGGGATCTCGCTTTCGCGCAGTCGCGTTTGAACAAGGTCGTCGAGGACATGGAGATGAGCCGGGGGAGGGTGACCCAACTTACCGAGGATCTGGAGAAGAGTCGGGGGGAGACCGCCGGTGAGTGCAAGAGGGGGGATAGTGCTGAAGAGAGACAGAAGGCTGCTGAAGAGGAAGTGCGTGTTAGAACACAGCTTGGTTCTTAATAATATCTCTATGTTTTGATGATAACTATTATGAAATATTGTAATTAAGAATTATATACTCTAAAATTTGCTTAAGAGTGTTTGCTGCAGATATTAAAGTAATTATCACTCCAGAAGCAAATCAGAACTGAACATAAGAAATATGCTAGACTCTGAAGCGCCAGATGCATCCATTAGAAGATTCTGAATGCTGCCAACAGAAGATCCTGAGCGTAGTCTCCAGAAGGATCTGAAGCAGAAGCTCCAGAAGAATCTGAAGCAAGTCAGAAGCATCTGAACCAAAGAAGAATTATGTATGAAGAGTTTTCAAGCATAGTTACTATAGAAGATTCTGAAAGTACTAAAGCTTCCAGTACTGAGGACCTGACTCAAATATGCTCTGAACTTATACACGCTAAAAGCACACCTGCTGCAAAGACTCTGATTCAGCAAAACTCTGATCAACATCAAAAGGCTCTAATCAAATTAGACTCTGATGATTCTTGCTGAAAAATTGATGAAGAAGAATTCAAAGATTATGTCCGTTGGAATATCCAAACGACTCTTTCCTTATTTATGCTAGACACAAGAACACAGACAAAAAGGATTTCTCTGTGCTTTCTTCTTCTAGGAAAGGTCACTTGATGTGAAGACAAAAAGGCTCAGACCTTTTGGTACACTCTTCTCAACGTGAAGTACTCTTGGATCAATGTGCCTATAAAAGCAAGTCTTCAACCATCTTCTTCAGTTGACGTTTTACCTTAAAAGAATTCAATATCCAAAGCTCTCATATAATTCACATTCTTTCTAGAATTAATTTCTTTGTTCTTAATATTAAGTGAAAAAATCACAGTTGTGATAAAGCTTTATTAGAAGCAATTTAAACACTTGTATTTGTTATTACATTTGATTGTAAGAAAACCTTAAGAAGATCCAGTTAGGATCAGTAGTTCTTGAGAAGACTTTGAACAGTTGTTCTTAGTGCTTACTATTGTAAT